ATTTAAAATTTAATTACATTTAAAATTGACATGGTAACTTATAATTCTGGTTGATTTTGTATAAGACATTATACTGCAGTGATAGTCTTTCTCATCAGATTGACTTATGTTATAGATTATAAGTTCTCTACGAATAGTAAATTTAGTCTGCTTTGAAGTAACATGCACTTTTGCTGAAATCCAATTAAAATAGTATTAATTTCATGGTCAAGCAGAACATTTTGCAGAAACTTAATTTTTTAAAGAGAAAGTAATTTGAAACTTACAAGAATTAGTTATCTCTTGGAACTGGTCATCTAACCAAGTTACAGATTGATGGTCATGTTCAACAGCAGCACAGATAAGAGTAATATTTTCACCATTGTATGCTTCTTCTGGACCTATAATTCCGTAAGGAGCATCGTCGACTCCATCTGGTAAAAGGGATGTAAAAAAATAATTAAAAAATTTTCTTTCAAATAAAAATAGACCCCAGAACGTTGTAAAACTCTGCTAACCGGTAATTTCAATAGTGTGTTCCCTCGAGTTGCAATGGTAGGCTTGGCAAGCCTCGCAAATAATTCTTCCAAACGACTCTATGCTTACTTTCAACTCTGAATACGTTCCATTTCTACTTTGTTTACCCTTGGAATGTGAGATTAGTTTTAAATTGACATTATTACTCTTTATTAATTTTTTCATGCACTCATATATATGTATATATATATAAACAAAGCAAACCTTCATTTTTACTGTTTTACAAGTATACAAAGAAAAAAACATGGAATAATCTGGGCACATTTTGTAAAACCATGATATATTTGGTGTAGGATGGCCAGTGGCTTGGCAAGTAAACGTTGCACTTTCGTTAAGACTGTAAAAGGACTTAGGTTTTGCTTGATTTAATATAACACGAGCCATTTCTGCAAACGGAAACAAATTTGTTATTTACATAAAAAATGGGCTTTGCAAGTATAATGTTTTTCCATTAAAGGGTATGGCAGTAAGAATTTTAATAAAATTACCGTAAACTGTCACTGAAAAATTCAAGAGCTTTATTACATTTGTATTGTTTGCTCGGAAAGTATAAATTCCCTCATCTGTCAACTGAACTTTAGATATCATTAAATTACTCTCTGGATACTTTGGATACTGTCGTTTGAAATGAGGCAAACGGAAATGTTTACCAAAAACAATTTCTGTACCATTTGATGTAAGCCTAAAAATTTTAATCTTTAATGCTCAAAGTTTTTATGAATGATTGATTTTTGGAACACATTTTCAACTGTATGAAAGTGCAACTATTACCACGAGATAGTTGGTGGTGGATAAGCATCAATGTTCACTGTAAGAAACAACTTAAGACTAATGCTATAAGCTATTAAGTCTCTGTTATTAGATGTTAGGGAAATATAAGAATTTGGATCTGCAACAAGAGATACGTTTAACAAACTTAAGTTTTTGCTTCTATACTTATAAAAAATCTTAAAATTTAGTAATTCATAAAACTTACCGTGTATTTCTATAAATATGTTCGTACTGCGATGTTCCTTAAACGAAGATCTTACTTGGCAAGTGTAATTACCCTCGTCAGCATAAGTAACATTTCGTATGATAAGTTTGGATGTTACGGAATCGACGTTATTATTTTCGGCCACTTGCATCTGGTCTAAAATTAATTTGGAGGACTAATCCTTATACTTATTAAATTGTTTTCAAAAGCATTTAAATATGGTATAATATATACACACTCTTAATAACTGTATGAATGGCTGCAATAATCGTGCATACGCAAGTTAAAATTCTCTTACCGAATTTTGTGGAGTTTTCCAGGAGATAATGTTGGAACTTTCTACGTAGATTTGAACTGTACAGGTAACAGTCAATGAAGAGCCTACAAAAACTGTCTGCCGTCCTTCAATTTTTACAGTTGGTTTACTCATGCAACCGTTATTATAGCTTCTGGAAAATGTCATCGTCTTGGTCGTAATATCAGCATCATAAGCTTTACAAGTTAAACTGGGAAATCGTTTTTCAGAACTGTTAAAACCTACATTCTGTAGGATGAAACCAATTTTAGGATCAAAAAACGCATTCCTGTAAATAAATTCCTGCAAATTTCTTATGTATAGTATGTTATTAATATCAGAATTTTCTATCAATACACAAGTTTGAAAAAAAAGTTAATTTTACAGCATCACTTGTTGTTAGAGTCACGTTGATTTCAGGCGAAGTCGTTCGGCACGGAAGAATCGCAAAGTAAGGCAAACATGCTACTGGAGATAGTAGTATAGGACCGTTTGGTAGGATAAAAGTACTTTCTTTAGCTAAGTAAAAATACACATAAAATACACTGAATTAACTTACATAAATTAAAGTAGCTATGATAGTAAATTAAATTTACTCAGCTTGTAAAATTCAGTTAAAAATATGTTAATATCAAAATTCTTACGTTTAACATAAATATACATCCAACTGATACTTGGGTCATTTGCATCCTTACTCATTTTGCGTGCGATTTTCTCATTTAAATTAGCGCAACCATACCAACCATTGTCTCTAATATGAGTTGTCTCTATCAAAAACGTTTTATTTTTGCTCATTTCTTTTGGGTAAATGTCATAATTAGACAACTTTATCTATTGATTATATATATAAAATACTGGCATTTATTTAAGAAAAAAATACATTTCATTTAAATATTCTGTATACTAAATCTGTTCAACTTACACCCAATCGATAATAAGGATCTGGATAATAGAACTTCACATATTCATTACTTGTGCATTTGATTTCCAAGGCTTCTCCTTCGTTTATTTCCAACTCAGTGACGTTGGNACATTTTTATCAAAAAATACTTGATGCAAGGTCAAAATTGAGCCATAAAGAATTGAAAACGGGAGACTTGAATGTTGAAAAATATCCGAAAATATGAAGATAACTTTTTTAAGAACGATATCAATTTTTGACTTCGTTAATTATATTGTTTATGAAAATTAAAGAAACAATTCTGGAAATGTATAAGCTATTAACATAGTAGTTATAAGTAGTTTATACTTTTTACATTCAATACCTTAACCATTTGAGTGTTTCTATAATGTATAACTTGGATGTAAATGAGATATAAACTAACTTTATTATCATTTTACAGGTTTTTCTAGTGCTGTCTTTAAATTGATTTGAGATCCAACTATTTGCTAAGTATTTATTAAGAATAAATACATCTTTAATCAAATTTTCTTGATGTGCTTAGAATTCTTGTTAATAAATAGAAGTCAGTTTCAAAGTTTTATTAATCCAAAAGTTTTCGAGACCTTGTTTATGTCGTGAATGAATGATTATTGATACTAATTCAATAAACTACACATCCGGGTATAATTTTTTTTGTAATATCTTATTAAAATATGAATGAAAGTTGATAAATGTTATGTTTTTTCATTTTTGCAATGATTGTCTGCGTCCTAATTCTTTGGATATATTACTTTTTCATGCGCACGATATACATTTTCCAGCTTGAATGTGTAATTGTATTGTGTAAATGTAATGAGTATTTAAGTAACATTCTTTCACTGTGTAATTAGCTCTGTAGGCCTTTTTTGCAGACTTACAACCGCAGCCTTAGTACTTTTGCCTATCTTAGTTATGTAATGAGTAAAGCCAGTAAAAAAGTTTTTTCCGCCCTCGGGTGGTTTTGGGAGGCTGGTACTTCCTCGGGCGAAAAAGCAGTTTTCCGGAACTCGTTCGAAAAGTCTTCTTTACGAACCTCGTTACGTCCCTCGCCTTCGGCTCGGGCCGCAAA